TGAATCAAGAAGCCCTGGTCACCAATGGCTGACTGGGAGCTTTTGTGATGGGAAATCTATCTTGAGGATAAGGAGACTATAGAGAGAAACTGGTACTGCTGACAGAGGACTGCTATTTCCACCCAGGGTTTCACAGCAAGGCTCTAAGTGAGCAATCACAAAGCCTAATGTTCAATTTAAATGGAATCATACACACATGCATATACAAGAGAAAAAGGGAGAGAGCCAATGGGTTGCACTTGTGGCAGCAAGACACATCTCAAGGGGAGTGGCTGTAGGGGAAGGTCAGCTTTTTCAGGGAGAAGATGAGCATGTGACTGTGAGGGAGGTAATTCAAGATGAAAAACATCACAATGGCAGCAAACAATGGTAGAAGAGAAGCTCTGAGATGAGAAGGATGAAAGAGCAGCTTTGGAGTAATGAAAAACAATGGAGACTAAGATGCTGACAATCACTTTTTTATGATCGTCCTTAAGGAGGCTAGAATCTGGAAGGCTTGCTATAGTATTATTTATAATACAGGGCACACATGTATATGAAAATTCAGATTTGTACAGAGTACGTAATTTATTTCAAACATGAGTCAAAGTAAGAACGTGCATAATGGTAAAAGGTGCCTGATAGGAGGAGGGAGATTATAGAAGCCCCCAAAATATAGGGGGGGGAAATATTTTAGAACAATAGGTCTGACCACTGATGAGAAGTGGCCATGCGGTCTGCACAGGGAAAATTAACTTGGGGCCTTTGTCAAAGTCTATATGTACTTGGAATGAAAAGACAGGAAAAAAGTAGAGACTAGAACTATTTCCCTCATTCTGGCAATTGGAACCAGGATTATAGAGAGGATACAATTTAGGAATAGTGAACAATCAGATAAGAAAACAGAAAATTGTAATCAAATTCTCTGCTTTACTGGAGGATTCCCACAGTTCTGTGGAGGAAGAGGAGTTCCTAGCCTATAGTAAAGTAAGCAGAAAACCGAAAAATAAAGGACAAGAAGAAATGGGACTGATAGGAGGTGGGAAAAGACCACCAACAGATGCCCTGACTCTCCTCATACTTGCATCACTAAATAATAAGGCCAGCCCACTCTTTTGTTTTTTTTTTGGTACTGGGGATTGAACCCAGGGGCACTTAACCACTGAACCACATCCCCAGCCCTTTTAAAAATATTTTATTTAGAGACAAGATCTCACTGAGTTGCTTAGGACCTTGCTAAGTTGCTGAGGCTGGCTTTGAACTCACCATCCTCCTGCCTCAATCTCCCCAGCTGCTGGGATTACAGACCTGTGCCATCGCACCCACTCTTAAAAGTAGGGCGTATTCAAATATAGTAGTGAGATTTAAAGTGTGGCATAGTTGAAATTTTTTAAACTAATTTGTAATCAATCTACATTTTATACAGAATGTTTAAATATAAAACACTAAACATACAAACCATGCAGATGTCTCAACTTTTGTATTTCTACATCCCCCATCCCATTGTAAGACTACAGCCTATGAGATGACTAGAAAAAGGAAATCTCAAAAGGACTCATTATAATAGATAGCACATCCTTTCCATTTATATAGAGTTGTTGCTTCACTCCCATAGGGTTTCCCAATATGCTGCCCCCAGTTTTATAGCGGAAGAACTGAGCTACAAAGTGGTCATAAAAACAGTCATTTGGATTTCTCTGGCTCCTAATCAGCAGACCACTAGATGTGGTCATATTAGGGATGGATGACTTACCCACAGCTCCCAGGGAAACCAGAATATTCTCCCTAGAGTTAATGTTCTTGTCATAGGGGCGGTATCCATACAGGTGGGCAGCACTGTTCACCAGCCAGGTGGCATTGAGCACTACAGCATATCGCAGGAAAGTGGCAACACACAAGCTGTTTAGAAAAGTTTCACCCCAATAGAACCAGGGCACCAGTGTGGGCAGGATGAAGCATATCAACAGGACAGCGGGCTTGTAGTACCTACATTGAGAGATCCCACAGTTAGTCAGTGGAAAGAGAACTCTCACATTTATCTGGACTGCCCATTCTTACTGAGTGTGTTGTATATTTCCTCCTACACTATGAGTACAGGATGGCATAAAACAGAGGAAATGGAGTGAAAAATCTTTTTTCTTTCTCTTTCTTTTTGTACCAGGGATTAAAACCAGGGGCACTGCTGAGCCACATCTCCAGCCCTTTTTTATTTTGAAACAGGGTCTCACTAAGTTCCTTAGGTTGGCTTTGAATTTGTGATCCTCCTGCTTCAGCCTCCAGAGCCACTGGGAGTAGAGGCGTGTGCCACCACACCCAGATGGGGTGGAAATCAGGTTTTAGATGAAGCAATATGGACCTGCTAAATAAATGATTCTCAACTCTTCACTTGAAATCCATTTTTCTTTTTTCATGAGACCATAAGGTCATTTGGTCATAAAGGTAAGGGTTCAAATCTCAAGCTCATTAGCCCCAATTCTGCTGCCTGGGCTATTACCCATCTGCCTTAGGGCTCCCTTAACTTTAAATGTCCATCAGTTTTTGGCATAGTCTATGCAAGAAGGCTTGCCTCCATTTCCTGTGACCACCCATAATTCTTTGCTATGCTTTTCCTTCAGGAGTCTCTTTGATCACCTGAAGGTCTCTGTCCCTCCAGAGGCCCTGTCCTATTCTTTCATGCAAAACCAAGCCATTAATATTCCAAGGGCACTGACTGCTTACCTCCTTACAGCAGTCACACCTTTGACTTGTATGACTGACATTCCTTGCCTCCAACTCCTTTCCATTGCTGTCACTGACTGCATCACTACCATGGGTACTTCCTACCAGTTGAGCTGTGTCCCTGCCTCTTCTCTCTCTAGCTCAATGGTTATTTCCACCCACCCTGAGAACAGTCTTTCTGATGCACACCTCTGACTGTGCCATATTGCTGCAGAGACCATTAGTAGTTCCATGTTGCCAGATGAATTAAATCCTACATCTGTGCCTCAGACTCCAAAGGAACATTATCAGTTTCTGTAATCCTTTATCTAGAGCCACCCCTGTACTCTGAACAGAAGGACCTTCCCAGAACACGCATGAGGCTATATTTCATTCTTTTCATTGTCTTTGCACCATCCCTGTTTACCCATCTTTGAGAAAAGTCTCTATCCATGGATGGATTCTAATGCTACTTTATTTGTAAAACCTCTCCCTGGAGTTCCTTACTGAGCAATCTCCCTCCTCTTTCTTCCTCTGAGTACAGCAGGATATTCTGCCCTGTATCATGGTTATTTGGGTACTTGGTTTATCCCTTAATCCCGAAATAGGCTTCATACTTCTTTAACATAAGGATTAGTTATATTCATTTTTGTATCCCTGATTGTCCTAGGTCAATAATCATTTCTTGCCCTTAATTTGTTTCACTAAGATAACACACACAAAGAAACAGAGCATTAGTTCATGTCTGTGTATCTGTGTCACATTAAAAATTAACTTTTAAATGATCTGAACATGTAAATCACTCCGTTTTTATTTTATAAGTTCTGAGAGGAAAAAGTTAGGTCCCTGAACCCCAGATGCCCAGGGCCACATCCCCAGCCCCATCCTCCCTTCACTCACCTCCTCTGGAACATCACCAGCTTCTCAGCTTTTAGGTCAGATAGGTTCAGCGTCGCCCCCTTCTCTTTGACAGCTGGGTGTTTGCGCACCAGCAGCCAACCCACGTGAGAGAAGAAGAAGCCGCGGCGGGAGTTGTGAGGGTCAGCATCTGTTTCTGAGAACTTGTGGTGGGCGCGGTGATCTCGGGCCCATTCATAAACATCATTCTGGAGGGACAGAGAAGAGGAACACAGGCCTGAGGAGAGATGCCCTCCTTGGAGAAGTCCAATGCCTGGATGTCTGCAAGGGCCCACGGCTCTCAGCCCAGCCTCACAAATATCTATGAGTTTGGCTCCAAAGAAGAGTTACTGGAGCCTGTCCTCTTCTGCTCAATTGCCCCGAAGCTCAGGTGGAAAAGCAACTTAATCCCAGGCCACAGGAAGAGCACTGCAGCTTCTTGCAGTTATATGATGAGGAGAATGGAAGTAAATCATACTGAGCTCAGACAGTTTCATTAAGAAAGAACACTGCCATTTCTTGAGCAAAGAAGGGACAAGGTCCTCACGGGCCAATTTGTGGGAAAGTGTGAGTCAAATGGCCCCAGAGTGATGGTCTGTGGGTATAAGTGGCAGGGACTCTACCCTGACACCTGCACAAGTGACAGCTCACCCAACTCAACAAGAACAGCAAGTGATTCATGACTGTGACTACAGTTCCAAAGGACCTCTGGGCTTGCCTGGGGCTCTTTCCATTCCTTCAAGAATGTAGCTAAGCCCTACACCACAAGCTATGTGCCCATTGCTATAATTTCCCCCATTCTGTCTGTTATAAACCTGTTATCTCACTACATTTTAATACGTGACCAACCCAGCTTAATGTGGTCCTATCTGGGGCTGCCATGCTACGTTAGTCATTATTCAATTTTCCTCATCTATAAATTGGGGTTAATAATAAGACCTACCCCCTTACCCATCTTAGAAGGAAGTAATTAAGCTATATCAAGTACTTAAGCACAGTACCGGGCACATAGTTCTGTGCTATATGCTGTTACTATCTAAAAGAAAAGAGCTCAGGAGTATACGACACATCACCTTCAATCCCACTGTGGTAGAGTCCTAAAATAGCCAACTTAAGAGCACAAGTTTAATGTTCACTGTCTCCCCAGAAAACCAGGTTCAGTGCCTAGTTTATGACCATGGTTCCTTATGCTGAAGGACAACAGCAGCTACACTATATGAGAAGGGACATTGGAGGAAAAATAATTCTCTATCTTGATAGCCTTTCTTATTTACTTCCTATTTCCCATCCCAGTGACTGAAGTATTCCCAAGCTGGATAGAATTAAGCACTGTAGGGCAGACGGTAGATGAGATGGACGTCATTACCCAAGTACATGTATGAAGACGCGAATGGTGCGACTCTACTTTGTGTACATCCAGAGACATGAATGATTGTGCTCTATATGTGTACTATGAATTGAAATGCATTCTGCTATCACATATAACAAATTAGAGTAAAGAAAGAAAAAAAGAAAGAATTAAGCACTGAGCCTCACTTGAGATGACCAAAGTAGCTGGAAAGAGCAATGGCTGTCCTACTGGGGCTGTTCCCTCAACACTGATCCTCTTCATTCCATCCTGGATCAGTGACTGGGTAGAGACATAAGAGCTGAGCAGCACCCGCTACTTACCTGGAACGCCATGGTGTTGGCAATGATCAGGAAGAGCCGCAGGGGCAGCCGCGCTTTGTAAGTTCGGTGGCTCCACAGGCGATGAGCTCCTGCTGTGATGCCCAGGCCACTGATTAAATAGTACACATAGGCTGCCAGGACAGAATAAGGGAGTCACCAACAGGAAATTTCATAAGGCATGTCAAAATACTCTCCTAATGCCAGAGTCTGTGTGTTCTTCAGGTTTGGGTGAGGAACTGCCTCCCCTGAAACTAAGGCTTCTTGGAGTTTTTTGTTTGTTTGTTTGTACTGAGGATTGAACCCAGGAACACTTTACCACTGTGCTAAGTTCCCAGCCCTTTTTATTTTTTGAAACAGGGTCCCACTAAGTTGCTGAGGCTGGCCTCTGACTTGCAATCCTCTTGCCTCAGCTTCCAGAGTTTCTGCAATTATAATCATACAACCTGGTACCTGGTAGCCTCTTGGCTTTTACCACATGAAAAGTATCATCATGTCTACGTATCAGCATTTAAGGAGGCAGGACAGCAGAAGGAATAGGACTCTCACTGCTGTGCCACTCGGCACTATCGGTCTGCAGGGGCATTATCCCAGAGCTTATTTCCTTTGACCTTCAGCTGAACTTTTGTAAGATGTTCAGGGTCTCAAAGTACTCCCACAGACCTTAGGACCTGGGAACTAGTTGTGAAAACAGCAGCAAGAGCTATGTGGCACTGCCCAGTTGGAGCAGCCATAAGTTGTAGAGAACAATCAAAGGATGCAGTGATGTGTCTATTTACCACCTTGTACAAAAGTATTTCAGTCTTGTAGAAGACAATGTGTTTGTTTCTGGGAAAGTCAGCCCTACAGAGTTGTATTTGCACAGTGGCTCAGGTCCTAGCAAAATATTAATATTCTGTAATTCACTGCATACCTTGAATGGAGCAGGTCCTATTAACACCTCATAGTGCAGTTGAAGAAATAGATCCCCCACAAAGATTGTTTATCTAATAAACCAAAGCCATGGTTTAAACCCTCTTGTTCCAGCCCCTCTCCAAGATCTGTGCCCAATTCCTTGTTCTCTCCTTTGCCAAGTCCCTGTGAGACTAGATTCTTGAATTCAATGCTAATTCTAGACAATGCCAAGAGATAGTCAAAACCGGTAACAGAACCAGAACATTGTCCTGCCTCAGCGTCCTCTAGTTCTGCAGGCTCACAAGGCAGCAGATATGATCTCTAATGGGGAAATGGGCAGGTGTACCTAACTCTTCATGTGTTCAGCAGTTCTATGGGGGCACGGCTGAGGCCAATGTTTCATTTTGATCAAGTGGGTGCAACAGTGGATCTTCAAGGGCCACATCACTTAGTTGTGGTTGAAGACAGCACATTGTAACAAATTGTTCTAGTTCTTCCACAGTCAAAAATAACTATTTCCTAAATAGCCTCCTTCTCTCCCTCCCCGGCCTTCTGCATCCTATCCTGTTTCTTCTTCAGGATACTCAGGAAAGCCATAGAGTCAGTGATTGTCAAAGGAAAGTGTTGTTCCAGGTGACATGAGGTCTCTGACCATGTGGCAATTGAGACCTTCTAATATTCTTCACCCATACCTGGAAAATTCACACTGGAATCAGAGCCCTGCAATCACCAGGAGGAAAGAAAGGGCTCTGGACAAAGCAGAAGCACTTGGCCAAGAAGCAAGGGAGCATTTGGGATTGTTTCATGGTGCAGATGTCCCTGGGACATTGAATCCAAAACTACATGTCGTTCTATCTTAACAGGGGACCTGGGACAAGAACCCAGGCACTCAGCTGCCTGTTATATCCACATTCATTGATTCTAACACAGTAGTGCTGCCCCATTTGGAATCTGGAAAAACTTTTACTGAGAAAGGGGTTCTTCTTAGTTATGTTTCTCGGTGGCACCTGAGAATGTCTATGACAAAGCTCAAGGGACCAGATATCATCACCTATTAAACCTAAGAGATTGAGAGGGGACAGTTAACACCAGCCAAACTTTCTAAACCACTGCTCTCCCAGAGAGCTGCCGGAAAAACCCCCACACCTTAGACTGTTCCAGGAAACTTCTGATGGTCTTCTGGAGAGGGCATCCTGGCTCCCCACTCCTCAGAGAGCAACATTTGGGCACCTGGGTTTCTAAAATTCCCTGTTTTCCCTTCCCAACTCAGGCTTCAAGGGCAGAGATTAATCTGCTTGCAAAGCAGCACCTGTGGATCCAGGGGGCAGGACTGCTATCAGCCTCAGATACAGATCCAGAAAAAGCTAAGCTTAGGGCGGGTCAGAGAGGACCTGGAAATCTTCTCTCTCATTACAGCTGCCTGAGGGCTAGGGAGGGGGCCAGGAGAGCTGGTATTAGAAGGTGCTAGCCCTTGCGGGCTCTGGAGAGAAGCTGAATCAATGGGTATAGGGAAAGGAATATGAAACATTTCTATGACCTTATTTCATCTTAAGAACATTTTATTGATTGGCATGTGCTTACCTAGAATAACAGTAGCACAGTATACAGATATTTTCTTCATCTTCCTCCATAATAAACCAGCCTAATCTGCCCTGGGCGGGGTGAAGTCAAAATAGTTTTGTGGAAGACAAGCAAATGATACAAACAGAACAGCTCTTTCAGGATAGGGGTCTTTGTCACTTGTCTATACTTCAAAGCCTCCTGTACATGTTCTCAGCCTTGATCCCTAACATCCATGTCAAACTGCCCCCAGAACAGACACTTTTACATCCCAATCCTACTAGGCTCTATTCCTATCCCCACCAGCCTCTCTCAAGCAACCAAAGACATATGGGTGGCAAAAACTGGACAAAGAATAGTAGCCCTTCTGTGGAAATCCCCACCTTATTAAAGATCAGGGAGACACCTAGGGGTACTGGCTCAGGACAAGAGGACATGCTTACCCCAGAGCCAAGTGTAGAACTTGCAGGTGGGAACCAGAATGATCCCATACAGGGCTCCCAGGTGCAGCAGACACATGAGGATGATGTTTCTCCAGACAAATTCAAACTTGGGCCTGGGGCCCTCTGCATCCTGGTAGCTGGGGTCATATATGTCATCTTTCATTTCAGGGCGGATGTCTTCTTCGGAGTAGAGAGGGTGGTTCTCCAACTTCTCTCCTTCATTCTGCGGGCTCCCCTTGGGAGGCGCTCTGATGGTGGTGGTGGTGGTGTAGGAGCTGGAGAGCTAGAAGGAGAGTTAAGTGGAGAGTCAGAAGAGAGCAGAGGCTTGCAGCAGCAGGGTCACTTCGCCCTCTAAGAGGAAGGGGGAAGGGTACTGTAGAGGCACAGGCCCCTGCCCCAGTACCCAGGTTACATGAGGGTGGCTTGAGATGGAATGGGGAAGTTTCCAGAGATTATGCAGACAGATTGTGGGTAGTACATTAAGGTGAAGTGGCAGAAGGAAAGAAGGGTGAAACACTCCTACCCGTGGCAACGGACAAAGGAAAAATCACACGTATACATACATAAAGGCGCTGGCAACACCAGGTTTTTCTTTACTTTAAAAGCTTACGAAACAAGGGGTATCAAGTGCCCCCTATTAAAAATTTAGTTACTAACTGAGAGCAAAGCAATCGACTGAAGCCAGAGCAGCTAGAAAAAAGATGGCCAGGTCCTCCCAGGAGTTTTCAACCAGTCACCTATAAGCCAATTCAAACCGCATAGCACGCGTGGCCAGAGCCACTTCTGGGAATCTCACCTGCAGCATGTGGGCCGGCATCTTGCCTCGGTGATGCTTGAATACGTTCCCAGGGCCGAGACTGCCGAGCGGAATTCGATCTGCAGAGGCCCGAGGATGGACTGACCCGGCTTATGAGCCGCGATCTAGTACGTGCGCTCAGAACTGTCTGTGCCCCTTGCACGCGCGATGGATGTCCCAGCCGGAAACTGCAGTGCGCAGATCTCCTGGGGCTGCGTTTTTCAGGCTAGAGCTGGCAGTGATTGTGTCCGGTATTTCCTTGATTCCGTTTCAACAACGAGGGACACAAAGCGCAATGCTGGCTGAAAAAGCCAAGAGAGGAGGTGAGGGCGGGAAAAGGGAGGAGACCAAAAGGACAGGAGCGCTGTGAAGAGTCAAGGCACCAGGATACTGCAGACAACAACCCCCAGCGGCGGGGGTACATGCTAATTAGGCTTCCTCAACTCTGGTCGTCATTGGCCAACGGGAATTTGGTGCCACCTCGTCCTGCTGTCGCCATTGGCTCGGCGCAATCTGCTGTTCCCACTGCCACCAGGTCGTCGCTCCCCCGCCCCTCTTTTTCTGCTTTTGGCTTCTCCCCCCAGCCCGCAGCTGTTCCTCCGCCCACCACCCCGCGGCCTGGGGGCGCTGGTGAGCTCTCTAAGCTCGAGGACACTGTCACGTTGTTGGGGTTGGATCCAAGCCCGGGACTGGCGCGCGGAACAGTGTGGGAAGCCAACTTACCTCGGACCACTCGTGACTCCATCTTTTTCCCATCTCCCCAGGCGCGTGGGAGAGGAAACACGGTTTCCATCACCGAGAGTGGAGTAGCCAGCTCCCCTCCTTAACGAGCACCGGGGCTCTGGCCCAGGGCGAACTAATGCTCAGCCTCAACCACCAGCTTCAGGATGATAACCCGAGACTCCAGGGAGTTCATTTCGAATAACCAGAAACTTGCATAAAATCTGTGTGACTGCTCTCACGCATTCTGGTGTCACGGAGCACCTCCACAGGGTGCCGTCTCCACCAGGCTCAAGTGGGTTATCCTGTCACCATTCCTACGCCTCCAAAATGAGTCTGGATGCTTTGGGAATTCTGATTGTCATGTGAAAGTTTGGAATCTTCTCTATGCAAAAAGTTAGGAAACACACAGGTGTTTTAACGCAGCAGAAGGGCAAAGGACTAGTATGTGGAATAAGGGTAGGGGGCCAGTATTGAATGAACCCTGCAAACCAACTCCCAAGAGTCATTTTATTGAATCCTCACAAGGTCATCTCACTGTAACCCTATGAGGTGGGTACTGCATGATTCCATTTAAAGGAGGAGGAAGGTGAGGTTTGGAGAGATCAAATGCCCTGGCTATCCATGATCCCAGCAGTCAGTAAGTGGTGGAAGCATGAGTTGAACATAGAAATATGATGCTGGAACCCCAGCTCAGGACACTATTTGCCCTGGGACCCTGAGGTGCTTTGACCTCACAGACCTATCAGGGCATAATCTCTGGGCCTCTGGGAGTCCTACCAGGAATTTTGAAGGCTCCACATTCACCCAGCCAGCTTCCATGCCCAGGTCTCCCCATTGCTGCTCTGAAGCTAAGGAGTTCTGTGTCTCTCAGAAAAAGTCACCTGGGATTGCCTGGGAGTAGGACAGAGCTCTGGCCTCTGGCCTCAGGGGCAGGCCACATCCTTGACCAGTGACTAGTCACCTTCACTCTATTCCTGACTCCCTTGTCAGTGGGAAAGTGCTGAATGAACCTAGCTCCCAGAGTGGAGCACCTATGTGGTAATGGCTCAGCAGGATGTGGAATTCAAGTCTGCCTATGCTGCTCCTCCTCAGATTCTCTCAGCAATGTCATCTCTGCTAAATTCCTTTGCCAACTGCAGTTTTTTTACTCTGTGTCTAATCCATTCGGACTGAGAAAACTAACAAACCATGTGCCTTTTTCAACAAAAATACATTTCACACCGTTCTGGCAGAGAGTGTGTATCAAAGCACCAGGAGGTTTAATGTCTGTGAGGCCCCACCAGCTGGTTCACAGAGGGTCATCTTTTCTCTGTCTTCATTTGGGAAAGAGGTGAGGTTCAGTTCTAGGGTCTCTTTGTAAGAGGATCAATGTCATTAATGACCTAATCACTTACTAAGCACCCACTCCAAATGCTATCATCACATGAGAGATTAGGTTTCAGTGTATGAATTTGAGGGGATATGAATTTGAGGACAGGGCCATGTCTGTCTGCTTCACTGCCATCTTCCCAGCAGTACCGGGCTTAAGGAGGTTCTCAACAAGGATTTGCTTATTGAACTTGTTACATCATAAATCATCAATAGGAGATGTTAAAGGATTCTCTCTTTAAAGACTGCTGTCTTCAGGCAATAGATGTACGTTTTAGAAGAGACACTTACTGGGAACTATTATCATTAAAGTTTTTTTATTGTTTTTTTTTTTTTTTGTACCAGGGATTGAACCCAGGGGTGCTTAACCACTGAGCCACATCCCCATCTCCCTCCCCTTTTTAAAAAATTTTATTAGAGAGAGGGTCTCATTGTGATGCTTAGGGCCTTTCTAAGTTGCTGAGGCTGGGTTTGAACTTATGAGTCTCTTGCCTTAGCCTCCAGTGTGGCTAGGATTACAGGCATGGGCCACTGCACCTGGCAGACCACTGAAGTATTTTTTAATCTGGGATTATCATTAATTGAGACTATTCTCATATTCCATAATGAAAGCAAAGAAATATTGCATCTTCTCTCCCCACCTCTACCTTTTGCATTTCCCTCTGCTCCTTTCTCTCTTCTTCTCCCCTCTCCTTTTTCCTCCTTCCCTTCTTTCACCTCACCAACAATTTCAATCCAAATGACAACATTGCAGGGTAGATGTTTTCATGGCAGTTAAATTTAGGGGGGGGGGCGGCGCAGAGGTGCAAAGAATTGGCTGCTGCAGTTTAAGCAGGTAAGGGGCCCTCATGCAGGGGGCTGCCGGGCTCTGGGTGCTGGAGTCTGAGTCAGGTAAGGAGAGCACCCATGTTGAGGGGACAGCCTGGTGTGCAGTGTTGGACCCTACATGCATTGAGGAAGGAGACCATGTGGTAAAGAATGGGACACTTCAACAGTCTCAAAGAATCTTCCCTCTATAAGAGGCTAGAGGTCAGGGCTGAGGGCCATCCCTGCCCACAATGCTGCCTTTCGCTTTGTAGCATTTTCAGCAATTTGAGATCTCCAAATCCAGAACTAGCCTTCAAGGGTAGGAAAGCGTGTGTGTCAAGGAAAAATAAAAGGGTATAATTTTATTTTCTTTAACAGTTTATAGCTTGCTTTATAAACCCATGTCTGTGGGCCTTCCTTTGTTCTCTTGCTGGGGCCCTGCAAATGATAGGGCTGGACTGCTGGGAATTCTCCCGGTAACTTTGTTTTCCATCTTATTTTTCCAAAAACACAAATTAAGAAAGTGGCATTTAAAAAGCCCTCTGAGCCTGTTTGTGCCTTTCATCGCAGTACCGTAAATTGCTGGTAAACATTTCACAAGCCAAGTTGGCACAGGAATAATTAAGCTACAGCAAGAACTAGCACATGCCAAGCAGTCACTTCAGAGCCAAATGTCAGCGACTGGAGAGGCCTGACCTGGTTAGAGCAGCCCAGGTCCCCTCCACATCTCAGGATGGGCATGTCACTGTCTCAGCTCTATCTAGACTGACCCTCAGTGCTCTGAATGAACCTCATCTTCCAAGAGATTTGCCTTGCTCTACAAAAAAAACCAAGATTCACGTTCAGTTTACTAAAGGTTTGTACTTCCAAACTGGCCACAGTTTTTGTTTTTCTCAAAAGCAAATTTGAAAACACTCTGAATCTCTGCTCTCTCCTTCCCTTTCTCCATTTCTTCTCTCTTTTCTTCCCTCTTTCCTTCTTGACAGATGGTACATAGACATTAATTCAGAGAAAAATACAAAATTAATGGGAATTTCTTCTGTCCTGGAAAGTAAACAAGCTTGTTAAAGAAGGAAAGCAGGGGCTGGAGCTGGAGCTCAATAGTAAAGCATCTGCCTCGCATGTGTGAGGCACTGGGTTCAATCCTCAGCACCACATAAAAATAAATAAAGATATTGTGTGGCCACCTACAACTTAAAAAAAAATTAAAAGAAAAAAAGAAGAAGAAGAAGGAAAGCAGACTATTGTATACACCTGGAGCTCACTATCCCAGAGCTAAGAGGGTCCCGTCCTATGCTTAAGCAAGTTGGGGAGCATCTTCGTGCCTCCTTCATCATCACTAACCATGTACAGTGGATGCTTCTTTGATGAAGCAAAGGAAGTGGCTCTCAGGTGAATAGAGGAAAAGTACAAGATGTCATGTGAATGTTTTATTCATGAGAACCAGCATGAGAGCCATCTAGGGTGAGGAAAGAGCTGTTGGTCACAGGGGGTGATTTTTTCCAGCCATACCCATGAACTCAGAACAACTTCAGCCATTCGTGTCCTTTGTGATTACAAAGAGCTAACACAAAATAATTCAGCTTTATTGGAGCTGAATTCATATAAAAGGGAAATTCAAGAGGCAGGACCTGTGGGTAGCAAGACTGAGTTCCCTCTGGTATTACTAGGTCCCTTTCAGTTCAAAGATTCTAAGATTTTAATATTTCAAGAGTTTTGGAGGAGGGAATCTCACAGGAGGCATTCCACAGATTCTCAGTGTTGAAATCTGCTTTCTGGAGGGGTGGAGGAGTTCACTAGGATTGAACACAAGGGCACATAACCACTGAGTTATATCCTTAGCCCCTTTTTTTATTTTGAGGCGGAGTGTCACTAAGTTGCTTAGGGCTTTGCTAAATTGCTGAGGCTGGCTTTGAACTTGTGATCTTCCTGCCTCAGCCTCCCAAGCTGCTGGGATAATAGGTGTATGCCACTGTGCATGATGGCCAGTGTAGAAATCTTGACTTAGCCCAGTCTGGCTGAGGTTGAATTTGTTTGATACTTTATCTGAATTTGGGCTTAATTGTGGTCACACAGATTATGAATTAGTGATATTTAAAAGTAATATTAACTTTGTTTAAATGAAAATAAGTGATTAGAAAGTATGACTTTCACTGATATTGAAAAAGTATCAGAGGACCAATATCTTTTTGTTTTATTGACTCATTCATTTAATTAGCAAGGTATAGGAAAGAGAAATAGCAATGATTCTGAAGCCAAAATAAATGAATGCAAGCCTTTCAGGTTATAGTAAGTATAGGACTGTGAGGGGCCTATGTTCCACTTCTTCCCAGAGGGAGTGTGGAGAGGGGTGAGTATGCAGAAACTGACAGCCCAAGTCTCACCAAATGGAAAGAGGGAGCTACTGACAGCAGAGAGGCAGCTCCCATCCATTCCTGCTCTAAGCTGTGCTTCTGCCCGCTGAGCAGCACCTGTTGACCCCCACTGAGTCTTAGGGCCTGCAGCTGGGGACACTC